TAAGCTTCAGTCTCTAGAATAGATCCTATCTGTCTGTTCCTTAATTAACTAAATGCCCCAAAAATGAGCAAGCCAAATTCACTCCTTATTGGGTTGCTGCCCTATTTTTACTATGATGTCTCAAATTCCTTCATTCCCTTTCCTTGAACACTTAATAGCCGTATTTTGAATACAGTTTCTCCCACAGAGAGCTTGTCATGATTCTCCAGCAGCATGTCTACACCTGTCTTTGAACTGTAAAGGTCACAGAGGGGTAGTGTTGGATTTACCAGGGATTCATATCTTCTGTACCAAAATTGACCAGTTAACTTCTGGTTTCTCTCTGGAGATACTCAAAACCCGCCTGGATGTGATCCTGTGCAACTTGCTGTAGGTGACCCTGCTTTGGCAGGGGAGTTGGACTGGATGATCTCCAGAGGTCCCTTCCAACCCCAACCATTCTGTGATTCTGTGACTGCAGGTCTACTTTGTAAGTTGCAAACACAAAACCTACCTCTGCCCCAAAGCTATATATGGGACGTGACCACAGGAAGAAGTTGTCATGGCATCTGATAAAATGTTTGAAGGAAGATTGTGAACTCTCTGAACATTTATGGGGAGACCTTCTGTTAGGGTCAACACTGGAAAAGATTTTTAAGTAATCGTGTTCATCCTTCACAAGTAGTAGACAAGTAGGCCAGTACCACCAGCATGTTAGTGACAGATGCCTTCTCCTACTGAATGGAAAATTGTGGATTTTGATCATGAAGAGGTAATGTAGTTCAACTGAAATAAAAGGTGTAGCACAGAATTTTCAGCGTTGAACTATGGAAAAGACTCCATGGACTAATACGGAGATTTCAGTGCAGACAAACGCAAGTAGAAAAGTAATTTTATTATTGTAACCAAAGTAATAAGGCAGGCCAAAGGTGATAGGGAATGGGAGCAGCACTGCCTCCCTTCTGTGCCTTATTTCTCATGAGAAGCCATGTTACAAGAAAATGGGTCTAGTTAGGTAGGGCTATGAGACAGGTTATGCCAAGTTCTTTCTAATCTCCCTCATCTGCGGTGCTGTTTTTCTGTCCCCCTCCAGACTTGCAGTTCCTGCTGTGCCAGCTATCAGTGATGGAAAAGGCAGGCAGAAATGCAATGTAGCATGTAGTGCTGCTTCTTTGTCTGCCCGGTCTGTGTCCTCATGGTGCTTTGTCACCTGATTACACACTGCTACCTCTCATTACTGGTGCAATGCAGAGAGGCATTAGCAGTAGAGTGAGACTGAACAGACAGAAGGTAACAGTCCTAACAGGCATGTTATGGTCATTGACTTTCTCTCTTCAAATTCGTATTCGTGCAGCATAGGCTCTACAGCTGATTGTGAACCACTGGGAGATAGTCACAGCCCAAATTGCTAAAGCAGATAAATCCTGTGCCTGGTAGGACACACTGAATTGAACAGTATCTTCTCTGGCCGTCACAGTTGTGTTTGTCTTTCATCCCATTGACCTTGTTGAATTGCCCAAAAGCTTAGCCAAGAGCCAAGCTCATCTTGTTTGGAAGTCACCTACTTTTGAGGATTCCTCAGAGGGAATCTCTGAGCAGTTAAGGGCTCTGATATAGCACAGGTGGTCAGCAGTAATTCTGAGCAGTGCAGAAGTTCATAAGATGCAGACTACAGATTACACACAAACATACTGCCTTTACCACCAGACATTTTGTAAGGGCTATAGATTGATAAAACATAAAACAGAGAATATACCTATCTTTTGGTCTCCACTTAAAATTTTGAAGTTTACTTAAAACCAGAGATTAGGCTGTAAATTACCTATTAACAGGTAAACAAAAGGTGCTATGAAAACATAGCTGGAAAGCAGCCCTGCAGAAAGGGATCTGGGGCTACTGGCCGACAGCAGACTCAATAGGAGCCAGCAGTGAGCCCTGGCAGCCCAGAGGACACACCCCATCCTGGAGTGCATCAAACCGAGCATCACCAGCCAGCCCATCAGAAGAGGTGATTATCCCACTGTATTTAGCGTTGGTGCTGCCTCACCTTGAGTACTGTGTGCAGTTCTGGGCCCCACAGTTTAAGAAGGATTTAAAGGTCCTTGAATGCATCCAGAGGAGGGCAACAAAGCTGGTGACAGGGCTGGAAGGCATGTCCTGTGAGGAGCGGCTAAGGGCTTTGGATTTGTCTAGTTTGGAGGAAAGGAGGCTGAGGGGCAACCTCGTTGTTCTCTACAGCTTCCTGAGGAGGGGAAGTGGAGAGGGAGGTCCTGAACTCTTCTCCCTGGTATCCAGTGATAGGACACATGGGAATGGTTCAAAGCTGCACCAGGGGAGGTTTAGACTGAACATTAGGAAATGTTTCTTTACTGAGAGAGTGGTCAAACACTGGAACAGGCTCCCTAGAGAGGTGGTCAATGCCCCAAACCTGTCAATGTTTAAAAGGCATTTGGACAATGCCCTTAACAACATGCTTTAACTTCTGGTCAGCCCTGAATTCGTCAGGCAGTTGGACTAGATGGTCCCTTCAACTGAAAATATTCTATTCTATTCTATTCTATTCTAAAAACATGCAGTTCTGCACAAGGCAAATGTGCATGACAGTCATATGAAGTAAACACAAATTTATACAATAAAGGCAAAGTGACTTCTGTCAATTTTGCATAATTGTCTAGTAGGTTTTTATCAGCAGGCATTGAAAAAACTGTAAATGAATAATAAAAAATGTTGCTTATGCTACTTAAGTTTCATAATAGTGAGATGAAAATGGTTGTCTCCAGAACAAAATTTTGCTGTAAATATAAACAGGAATGGAAGGGGTTTTATACATCCAGATTATAAAGAACTTGTCCAATGTTATGGCTAGCTGATAAAAGAAAAGTGTAATTGTCACTAAAAGTATGCTTTTCCTCTCCTGTTAAGAAAAGAGGCTGTATTCCTGGCTTCAGACAGAGCTATTTCACTGTGGATGCATATATGGCAGAGATTTTTTAAAAAATATTGGTAAATAGTACGAAAGCATTCATGAGTAGTTTAAAAGCAAAACTGCTATTATTATTTAGGAACTTTAGATTTAAAGGGTTGCAGAGACTTGGGGCAGGATTTTCAAAATATTCCACAGGGATTTCAGAAGCAATATTTACAGAGGAAAGAAATGTATTTCATTTTTTGTTTATTACACAAAGAAATCTTCATCCCAGCCACCAGATTATACTTCAATAAAATCGATAGTCCAAACCATTTATTTTTCACTTGTTACATGAAACTTTCATTCACGCTTTTACGTAGTAAGAACAGTGTTAAAGAAATCTCTTTGCCCTAGGTTTCCTGCAGCAAAGTCTCAGATGTCCGATCTTAGAAAAATAATTAATTTATTTGGATGGTACAGCAGAATGACAGCTCGAGCTGGGTGCTTCTGGAGAGGGTCCCCAAAACAAGGCCTGGGTTTTTAAACCCTTACAATCTATGCACCCCCCCTCCATGCACCCTTCATGCACCTTTCAGTCCAATGCTCCATCTCTTCATGCGCTATCCACATGCCTCTTGGTCCAGTGGTAATTCGTGGTCTTTAGGGCTCAGCTGTTTCTCTTTGGTTCTCTGCCTCTGCACTCCTGACAGGCCATTTGTTGTCCTTATCTCAATGGTTTGCTGCTTCTGCTGACAAAGTTTCCTCCTTATCTTCTTCCAGACCCCCCCTGTAGCCAAGCAAGCAAGTCGGGATGAGTTTATGATATGTGACCTGGAATTCCTTCTCCTGCTAACTAATGCTAAGTGAAGTTATTCAGACAAAAGAATACATTTAAAAGAATAGAGAATAATTAAAAAGTTAGGTTGATTACACTTATTCTGTAACAAACAAGAAAAGCACACCACAACTACATCTGCACGTGCTGCACTTCATATACTGAAGTTATACTCAGATGCTGCTTCTGCAAAAGAGGAGAAAGATTTATCTAGCTTACAGTTTTCTCTAGAAGAAAAGATGCATGTTATGCCACTGTGCGCCTTTACCAAATTGCCAGTGTTTACACAGGGGTAAGTCGTCAGTGTTTACGCATGGGATGTATCTATATCAGGCTGCAATCTGTGACGTCTAGCACTCTGAGAGGGAGTCAGTATTTATAGATACAATTTTAAGTCTGCTGCAAACTTGCTTTTTAACCTTGGGGAAGTCACTTAATCTAGCACTTACGCAGTTTACTTTTCAATTTTTTGTTAGTAATATCAGAAAGCAGTAATATTAATAAGATTATTAGATGTCCTGAAAAACAAAAACTGATGATATCAGTGAGTAAGGCCCGAGAACTATTGTAACTTGGGTAGTGCTTGCTGAGCTTTCTGAGATCCTACAGATGCTGTAAAAATGAAGCATATTGCATAGCGATGTCAGTGGGTTCTGATGCAATCGTGGACAGGTTGCTTTATAACTAATGCTTTTTAAATCATTGTTAATAAATAAATTCAGAGTATCAGACTAAGTCACATTCACACATAGCCATACAGATACTATAAATTTGGTATTACTTTGCATTAGCTGCTTTTCTATACCGTAATCCTCATAAATCCAGATGTGAACTGCTTCGTGCACTGAGGAAGAAAATGGATAAAAGCAGAGAACTTTTAAAAATATAATTCCAGACAGCTAGGGGAGGGGAGATGACAAAAAGTGGCCAAGACTGTGTTAATAACATAAGTTAAAAAATGTGTGTTCCAGGATGATACTGTCTTCTAGACTAAGCAGGCCAACTGTGAAGAGTAATACCGAGAGCTAAGAGGCCAGCCTCAGGCATATGCATTACACAGATTTTGCCTATATGCTCAAGATAGGATTTCTGCCATTTTACATTAGCATAGTTAGAGTTTGTAACTATGGTGGAGTTTGGTGAGTATAAAAAAACATAAGCTAAAAAAAAAAGCAAATTAGCAAGGAGGTCACAGGAAGTAAAATATCTCTCTGAAATTTACTGAAGGATTCGGTTAATACAGCAGAAGTCCGTCTTCTGTTACACTGGATGCGTGGCAGATGGCATAAGGTAGGAATCAGATAATAGCTACTGAAACTGCCAACAGCAGAAGGAAAACTGAGTACAATTCATTTGGCAACCCCCTTCTAAAAGTATGTGGACAAGAAGTTGCATCTTGTCCAAACGTTCTTTGAGCATTTTGTATAAAAGCTTTAGAGGATACTTAACCTAATTTTGCCTCAGAGTAGCTTATAGTTAAATGCAATATGACAGGAGAGAATTCCAGGAGTTTGAAATGTGCTTAGCAGTAGCTGAATGGATGGGGTTTGGTCTCTGTATCTGTAAGCATACTCTTAAAGCATTTTGTGAGAGTAGTATTTTTCTTTCTTTCCTTTGACAAAGTTTGCAGCAAGTTGTATTCATTTCTTAATATACACAAATTCTTTAGTCTTTTCCAATTCAAGTGTAAACTAAAATATTTTCATCAAAATATTTGTGATGAAAGATTTCAGCAAAATCATTACACAGTACCGAATCTCAGTTAATTTCATACCAGAAGCAAGAAGCTTGCTGTGATGGAGCTCCTAGCTCAACTGCTCTTTCTCTGCAGATAAGTTCTTTTTCCCTTCTAAGTAGGTTCCTTTCGTCAAGTATTTGGTTGTGGGCTCAACTGTAATTAGAGCACAGCATCGGTTTTTTGGTACAGTCTACATTATAGATTTTATGCAGAAAGGTGGAATCCATTAAGCATGAGGTTTTTAAATGCTTCAGGACAGAGGCTATTATTTCTGATGTTTGTACAAGAAGATAGCACAGCCTAGTTTGTTTCTAGCACTTGTGCTGCAGGAATAATATGTGTATTATTTCAAACATGCACAGTGTCTCCAGTAGCAAACAAAGCTTGTAACTTGCACGTAAATGGATTTCGCAGATTCTTCTGCATCTCAGTGGATAAAGGAGCTGTGTCAGGAGTAGAGGAGAAGAAGAATAAATACTAAAATATAAACATCAAGGGAAAAGCAAACAAATTCCAGCTAAAAAGTTAGGCTTCAGTCTTTTCTGTGTGTTCTTCCTTTTTTTTTTTCCCTCTTGATTTGTATTTTGAATTTTAGTGGAGTCCAAACGCAACATCTTGCAGTCTGAGCCCAAAAAAATTCCCAGTTGAGAAAATCGGATTTAATTTCCTGAAATATTTTGCCATGCAGTGTCTCCAGTGCCTTGTCACTTGTAAAATCACTTCTCACATCAGCAAAACAGCATTTTCTTAAAAATACTCTTGCATGTTCTGTTAGTGGATGACAGTGTGGTGAGTCAGATGTTCAGAGTTGTAGCACCAAAGGGGAAATAAGTGTAAATGAACCCGTCCTGCAGCAAGGCAAATAGTTGGACCACTGCCAGTGATTTCTGTATTCTGTTTTTATATAAGCCTTCTGATAGCATTAATACTTTGTTTCTGTATCTTAGGTGCACCGTTGGAGAAATAACAGATGCAATGAAGAAGGTGTTTGGGGAGCATAAAGCCAGTGACCGAATGGTGAGCGGAGCTTATCGCCAGGAGTTTGGGGAGAGTGATGAAATTCTTCATGCCATCAATAGGTGAGAATAGCTTCCCAGGAAGCCAAACACAGCCTCACATTTAATCCATGAGATACATGTGCTACTCACTGTGCCGTAAAAAAGCATTTCCCAAATGACATCCCCAGAACAAGAAAATCACCTGCATAGGCTCTCTCATGCCTGTAAGCAAGTAAGCAGAATGAGAATAAGTACAATAAGACAGTAGTCAAAACTTAATTGAACTAGTATTTGCTTGCAAACAAAATCCACTGAGGTGATGTTACGATTTGAGGATTTTGTTCAAATAGGTTATGCAACTGTAGGATTAAGAAGCTGAGAAACATTGCCTGGAATCCCCATACATTGGGTTGCTTCTTTAGAAAACTGTGTAATAGTAATATCTGAAATATTTCCAGCAATTCATATTTACAAAACCTGTGTTTGATCTATCCATAAGTTGTCCCTGCAACTTCACTCTTACTGTTCCTAAAACTGTAAGGCTAAAATATATGTCTGGATATCCATGTACATCTTCCAGTCTGTGGGTGTTACTTACTCATAAGACGAGGGAGAAAACAGCGGAAGATGATAGTATGTGAGAAAACAGTTGCCTATTTGTGCCTTTTGTCAGCTTCTGCCTTTGCTGCTGTCCTCTTGGGTAAAGAGACTGAATTGCTGTAGAGGGTGGTGATGTAATATGAATTGATGCTCGTAAGTCCCTGCTGTGTTGGGGCTTACACATTAAAGAGTTACAGGCTCTCTTGAAAGGGAATTACTTAATGGCTTCACAATGGTGATGTTTAGCCTGACTTGAAAGTAGTTGCACTGAGGGATGTCACCATGGTTTTTTATTTTAAATATTTATTTAAAAACTTCAGTATTTGTAATTATGCATTTACATGAAACTGAACTGAACTGATTCATTGAGAATCAAGATGTAGCTCCTTTTTTTACATACCTGCCTTTATGTCCAAGGTCATATGTACCAGATAGTAAACATGGTAACGAAACTGGATCTACTATGTGTCACCTTTGCACAGGCCTTGAAAAGTGTGATTTCACACTTGCCTCATTTAAACCAAGCCTGAGTTGCAGTGACTCAGGTGGTCTTACCTTGGCGGGCTTGGAGCACCTAGAGCTGTTCTTTTTGGGAGCAAGCCAGGGCGGGGGGAGCTAAGAAAACAAGAATATGGAAACAGAAAACAATACAGAGAAAATTATTTAAAGATACCACAAATCAATTCAGATACCTACTTCATTGCTATTCTCAGCAGTGCTTAGCAACAGAGAAGACAGGCCCAACTCCTGTACATTCTCAAGCAGAAGCTTTGTCAGTCTGCTTCTTCAGGCTGTCTTGACATAATTCCTTTTTAAGCTGTCTGAGTTCTTATTTTATCCCTCTTACATGATGCATATTCCTGTCCTGGAATCATCTCCTGAGGCTGTTCAAATCTGTGCTGATAAATGCTTTATCTAGAGTCATTCTTCTCCCTGAACTAAGCCACGGGATTCATACAGTGATCATCCCAGCCATGTTGGCATATGTTTTCAAGGTGCACCAAATCCATACAACTCCATCATGAACAGAATGCTCAGAACAGTACAATATTTAAAAAAAAAAACCCAAAACAAAACTAAACTTTTATATCTGAGAAGTGGTAGTCTTAGTGTCCCACCCAAAGACAGATACTGGCAGTACATGGATAATGAGCAGTAAGATGAAAGGCTAATACCTGAGGATGTGGTTACACCATCACTTTAATACACAGAAATATGAACTGCCACTAACCAGAAAAAGGGAGGCACTGAAATGAATGCATAGAATCGGGGTACGGTAATCCTTTTCTGGACAGAGTTGTGCCCAGTTGAATGATGATGCACAGTATGATGTCTCGGACCCATCTCTATAGCCTGTGTGCCGTGCAAATACTTTTGAAATAATTGGTCATAATTATTCTTAAAATCTAAAAATTGTGTTTTAGTTAGTTGTAATTCAGCTTCTTAAACCCTCAGAGAATTCAGTATTTTGTCTGTTAGAAAGCAGAAAAGTAGTGGAGTGGTTTTCTTTAAAAAAGAGCATTTTATTGTTGAGGCTAGTAAATACAACTAATCAGTTAGTAATCATATAACATGAATATTAACATAATATGCAGACTACATGGACAAACCATGACTTAGAAGATGTTTTTATTTGATGTACAGAAATTATGCTATAGTTGCAGCCAGTGCTTTTTTTATTTGTGGAAATACTTCTAATGATTCTCAGTGACTTACAATGATATGCTATGTGTTTTCCATCAGAGTCAACAAGTTCATGGATCGTGAGGGGCGCAGGCCTCGTATTCTTGTTGCAAAGATGGGTCAAGATGGCCATGACAGAGGAGCTAAGGTTATTGCTACAGGATTTGCAGACATTGGCTTTGATGTGGACATAGGTCCCCTCTTCCAGGTATGACTGCTTGAGCAGTGTCCAGTGTATTTCAAATGCAGCGATTTTCCCTCTAATGTTTGTTCAGCAGCCAGGCTGGGGCTGTGACTTATCATATAATCCTCTTTCTGTACAGACACCTCGAGAAGTGGCCCAGCAGGCGGTTGATGCAGATGTGCACTGTGTTGGTGTGAGCACACTTGCAGCAGGTCATAAAACTCTTGTGCCTGAACTCATCAAAGAACTCAACGCCCTTGGCCGGCCAGACATTCTTGTCATATGTGGAGGTGTCATCCCACCTCAGGTACGGGTCAACATCATTCCCATCAAGACTAAGAGACTGCTTTATTTCTGTCTGTGCTGTTTTTAGCTATTTCCTATATTCTTTTAATGTCAGAGGGGATTTACAGTGCTGAAGGCTACTGTGTAAGATCACCAGGGTCAGCACAGATCTGCAAGATGGTCACAGAGTGCTGTCAGGTCTCATTGATCTGGTTTTCTGTACACCATGTCCTGGTTTAACTTATGGTGTTTGTTGGATGGAATATTAAGTTGTTTTGTGAACAGATTAGCCTTAGGGAGATGTTCTTTATGCTCTGTTGTTTCTGATTACCAGTACCTTGCATATTACTGATAAAGGCTAGCTCCTGTCTTAAAAGACTTTATGACTCCCAGTAGTAGTTTGGAACAGCCACAGCTAGTGACTAAGGCACCTGGCGGGTCCCATCACCTATAGGCTACACATTTCATTCACTGTTTAGCCTCTCCTCATGTTGCCCATCATCAGGCCTCAGTGTTGCCTCTCATTCCCTCTGCTTTCTCCTAAACTGTTGAACAGTTTGTTGAATTCCCTTGCAGTCAGATTTGTGCTTTTGTCTTAAAATTTTCGTTAGCTTATCCACAATTTGCCTGACTGTATCACCTTTAGGGTCATCTTCTGTCTAGAGAGATTCAAACTGATTTTGCGTATAGATCTCCTGTTACTCCTTTTTTTTCCGGACTTCTTCCTTTTCTAGCCAATAAGGTAAGTGTTCAGGAATGACAGACTTTTAAATTGAACAAACAAAACTTGTAGTATTTTGCTAGGAGAAAAATCGTGTTCTGTCCAGTATCTCTCAATGGGATGCTACTAACCTGTTGTTGAAAAAGGTATAATATATCCTATATAGAAGTAAGAGAGAATACATAACTGCTTCCGAGATCTTTTTGAAATTTCCGGACAATAATAGAGTAACTTAGATTGCAAGAGACCACTGGCAGTCATCTGGTCCAAGCCCATGTTTAAAGCAGTATTTTCAAAATTAGAAGTTAGATCAAATTTAGATTAGGTTATTCAGGGTCACATCCAGTTGACTTTTGAATATTTTCCAAGGATGTGATATTAGTGTGATTCTAAACAAATAACATCTTTCCTGTGGATTTTTTTTTTGCCTCCTAACTACAGTATTTTTCCCATTTCCCTTGATGCTGTGCTGCCTCTCTCTGGGACTTGTTGCATATACTTTCTCCGGCCCAGCATATAGGATAGAGCATACACCAATTATAAATCAATTATCAATTTTCTGTTGCACTATTAATTGTAGATCTTAAATTTCTTCCTGAACAGGATTATGACTTTCTGTACGAAGCCGGCGTTACCAATGTGTTTGGTCCAGGGACACGTATTCCAAAAGCAGCTGTCCAGGTGTTGGATGATATTGAGAAGTGCCTGGAGAAGAGGCAGCAATCGATGTAACGCTGAAATATCAACAACGCAACCAGCCTTATACTAATTGCTTACAGAATGTAATCATCAGCAAGGGATGACCAGCCACATACCTTTGGTTCCACTGCCCTGTGGCCTGGTGTTTTGTGCTTTCTAAGAAAGTTGTAAATTCTCTGCTTGTTCTATTTGAGGATTATATATGTATCCGCCAGAAAATTTTATCTCTAGAACTCTGACTTCAGGGAATGAAGAGAATTCAGTAAGTGGGTTTGGGTTTTTTTTCCCAGATATACTGATAAATAAAATATCTGTTCCAGCTCTTTGGTTGATCTCTTTTGTATGCAGAGAACAACTTCTGAAGTTTTTGGCAGGCATTGTAGACCTAGAAGTCTTCAGGCAAAATCACTAAAGTTCAGCAGAGATGCAATTGAATCCAGCAGCTCTTTGATGTTAACATTAATCTGACTTAACTCTCTTTAGAAACGTGTAAGTAGATAAACCATAATTTTTCAAAGTTCCTGGTTTGTTTAATAAGATACAAATCCTATATCTGGCAGCAACCCATTTAGGAGCAGCTGTGCACCTCTGATCTGTTTACATCACTGCCCTTCCCCAGTACTTCACTATTTCTCAAATGAAGTTCCTTTCAGTGCTCATTCTCCCTTACTTAGTTCTGTATTTTTGTCCAGTATTGTTCTTGCTATGCTTGTCTATTTAGCAATTGGACTTTCTTCAGGTAAATTGATCCTAAATTGTCACCATTTTTGTCTTCCCTCCAGAAGGAATTTGATTTATACATGTGAAAATCCTTTGTGGAATCCATACAAGGCAAATGGGGTGTTAGGGTCTTTTGAGGGACAGTCTCTGGCATTATGGCCCTGTCCCACTTCACTTCATTTTGCCTTGTTGCTCATTTAATCCCATCATAAAATGAAACTACAGCCTCCCTGGGGTAACGCTTGTATCTGCCTTGTGGTGGAAGAGGCTCTGGCACACTTGTAGGATGTTCAGCCCCATCATACTTTATTCAAAATGAGATTTTCTGCAGTTGGCTGGAAATTGCAGGTCCAATTAATAGCACTGTATTCTTACTTCAGAGATTGCAATTGATGAGATCTTTACTTAAATGAAGCTTGTTTAGTGGGGCACATGCCCATAGTCTCACACTGCTCAGAAACAAGGAGGTTAAGTGATTTGCTGTTTTCTTCTCTCTGTCCTTCTAATTAAGGTTTACAGTATTGATCCCAAACCAAACCTTTGCCTTGAAAACTCTTTGGGGGTTTATCCTCAACTATTTATAAGTATCTGATTCCCTTCAAGAAAGATTGGTATGGTTCAAACCAGGATATACAGAAAGTGACAACAGTTAAAATACTCCTTTATGTTTTTTCACAAGCCTTCTTGCTTGCAAACTGGAAAAATACATCGTCAAAGTGTCAGTGCCTCTAAACTTTGTAATGAAAATCATCTCATTAATTTCTTTCTGTCTATGGTTTCTCTGCTCTTTGATAATGTATGTCATCTATGTTTGCTTTATAGAGTCCCTTTTTTTTTTTTTTAACTCTCATGATCTTTAAAATCTGCATCTTGGTCCCTTTGAATTCAATAAAAAAATCCCATCAACTTCAATTGGAATCTCTCCAGACCTTTAATGCCTGGAGGAGGGCCTTTTAAAGCTCTAGACTAAGACTGACTGACATAGATTGATCCTCTCTTGTCATACCAAGGTTGGAAATCAAAAGTCAGCCTAGGGAAAGAATGGTTTTCCCACCCAGCACACAGTGTTTGTATTAAGCCCTTTAAGGAAAGAAAATATTCAAGAGAACAGACTTTCCTTCAAGTGAGTCGTTGGTTCACTGCCTAGGTAGAGATTCTTTATGGGATGATGAGCTAAGATGGAACATGCTTTTCCCATACGTTCTCTGCTGTTGGGGCAGCATAGCAGTGAACGTAGTGCTTACCAACGAGTTGATGTCGGGCTGTCAGCCCGCGTTGGTAACGGTGAATGGTTACCGACTAAAATCTCCGATGCTGCACACACTCCTCATCAACCTGGCTGCTTTAAAACTGCACTGATGTTCGGGCTAGTGAGAATTTGGGTTAGTGCAAAATCAAGTAGATACTCTGCAAATACACGGAAATGTTTTGTTTCAATATGAGTATTTTTGGCATATTCCAGGACAAAGTGATAACTATAAACGGTGGGACTAGGCACTCAGATCTTTCCAGTAGGAATGAGTAAGGTAGCAGCAGGCTACTGCATGACTAATTTCCCTTAAGTTCCAAAATAGCCAATATTTTTTTTATCTGTAAGGCAGTTGCTGTTTTACAAAGATGCAAGGAATACAGATAGGACAAAGGGCTGGAGATGTGGAGATCTGAATTTACACGTCGGAATTGACTTAGTGCAATGCACTGTCTTTCATGAGAGAAGCTTTGATAAAGCAAGAACTTGAGCATAGCACCAAGTCCCAGGCCACTGCCCTAACTGCGAAACAAATTGATTTTCAATTGTAAAGTAACCACCCGAGCATGGTAGATGGATCCTACAGAGGTCAAATTTCTGTAAGGGAATGGGAAACCGTTTTTCATTCTTAAGTGTTTCACAGCCTTCAGGATGGGTGATTTTGCACTTGTATTAAGCTGTTCATCAAACAACTGCTGCTTTACAATGATGAACAGCAAGACTGTATTGTGTGGGTAAGAGAAGAACTCAAGACAAAGTCTAGGTGATTTCCCCAGAGTCGCACAGTATTACTGGCAAAGGAATGGAGTGGAATCCAAGTCTCCGCCTCATGCTCTAACCACTAGAAGAATGACCTCCCTCACGTAATTGATCTTTGTTCTGAAGTGAGTCACATTTAATTTTACAGATGGGAAAACTGACCCTTAACAGAAGTGATCTAGTTCTGTAAGTTATTCCTATACCTAGACAGAGACTGCCTAGGTGATTTTTCAAAGGCATTGAATTCCAATTTATTGTAATGCAAATCAGAGTACTAATTGTGTTATTTAACTTTGTATGTCATCATCTGAGTAGGGACCTCCATTTATCCTTGATGGAAAGAAAGGAGCCAAAGGTGGCTCGCTGAGATGTGGATGTCTGCATTGTAAACTTCCACAGTGTGGTGAGGTAACTCCTAGTGTGCAAGCAGGTTAGATGCCGTTGGAGTTTTTACCTTAAATATTTGTTTGTACTGGGATGACTGCGCTGGTGATTGCAAATGTAAGATGCCCAGATTCACTCCTGAGGTAAGTGCTTGCATTCTGCTTCAGTGTCTTAGAAGATAACTTAGTTGACAACACAGTCCAGGGCTGGGTAGGAAACACCATGAAATTAGAGTTATAATTTGACCATAAATTAACTTCACGAAACAAGAAAAAACACCTAGTCCCCTGATGTTAGTGCTATACTTGCTTTCCTAGTTCTTTGGTCAAGGGCAGCCCTCCTTCTTAAGTTTTCTGTGTATATAACATAAAACCACCTAAAATTCAGAGACTCAGCTGGGGAATTTTTTATTTGCTTCTTACTGAATCTTAAAAATGAAAAAGGAATTTGAGCGATATTTGATACACAAACACCTGGACTTTGATTTTTAAAAATGAAGTACATAAACAGGTAATAAATCAGACTATTAAAGCATTATACTTTAACAATATACAAATCTTTTGGTTTTACAGAGATTTTGTCTGTATTGTAGAGTGGCATATTTTTCACATTACATACACTTTGAAAGCATTTACAAGTGGATGAGGACCTGTTCTGCTCCTAAAGTCTTCACGGAGGAAGCTCACATTACGTGACGTTAGTAACGTGCATGTCATTGTCCCATTTGCAAATCTGCAATTAGCAGGTGGGAAAATATATTTTGCTGTTTATTTTAAACATCAAGCAAGTGAAAGCAAAAGCTCTGAGGTGGTTAGTAAAATAGTTTCATTTTCCAATCAGGTTATTTTTTTTTAAGCTGAAAAAATGCTGATAATTGACATTTACCGTATCAAATCCCTTTCCAGCATGTTAACATTTTCTCTGCCCACTGACGCACTCCTCTGACCCCTCTTTTGATTTACACTGTCGTCCCTTTTGCATTTCCCTCTGCCAGCTCCTCGCCCTCCCCACATACAGACTTAATGCACTCCTGCTTTTTCTCCCTCCCCATAGATTTTCCTTCAGCTTTCACATGCTTCCCCTCTCAATTACTGCTGTTTTCTCCCGCTGCCCACATTCCTCTCCCCTTCTCCCATTTTCCTGAGCCATGGGCTGTTAGAGGTGACGGTTTCCCAGAGGATGATGCTTCACCTCATCTTATTTGGGAGAGAAGACTGAGCGCAGCCTCATTCCATATCGAGCATCTGTGAGTGGCAACCCAGGACAAGATAATGTCACCCTGGAAGCCAACTTAATTTAGGACTTTTTTCGCAGCTTCTTACAAATAAACCTAGTTTAATCTAGTGGAATATTTATGAGAGCTGGTGGCACTGTCAGTGGCAGGAGTTCAGAGGAAGGCAAGCTCCTTAAAGTTCCCTAACCCCCGACTTAGTAATTAATTTGTGCCTTAGTGTATGTTACAGCTCAATGTCTCATTTTTTTTGCTCTTTTGTAATCCACGATCCACAGTAACAGAAATTCTCGTAGCCACAGAAGTACTTAAGCCTATCTTTTAACCCTGTTCTTGGCCTAAGTTTATAAAATGAAACTAATTATTGGGATTTGAGTGTGGTAGAAGTTTTCAAGAACTCAAGGACCATTCGCTATTGGTTTAGATTGTTGTTTAAAATCTGTGCCAAACCTGCCTGTGATTTAACTCTTCTCGTCTTCACCAAATCTAATGCAAAGATAGATGTGGTCACCTGAGCAAGCGGGGGAAGCAAGAACTGCTGCAGCTATCAAGCCATATTTTGTACAACATTTCAAACCCTAAAGATATTTGTTTACATTCTTTAAAATCACAAACAAGTCAGAGAGAGAGATTTAAACTGTAGAAGCTCATTATTTCTACCTCAGAATCTCTTTTGTGAAAACTGGCTAGCAGGGTGATGTTATGGTTGTACGTATGCTTTAAACTGAATCAGCAAACTCCGTTCTCAGTTGCGATTGTGTCCGTGCCGCAGCCAGTGGGAACTCGGTATCTCAGGAGCTCCCACTGAAGTGAAGAGAATGCAGAAAACAGCTTTCATGTCAGGAGAGATGTTACACCTCAGCAAGCAACAGTGTAAGTGCACAGTTCCTTTTGCTAAGAGATTCCTCCACTTCTCTTTGTGGTATTTCTGATAGGCATCTTCGTGTGAAGGCATCCTTCGCTGTCTGCCACATCCCACCTAACCTCTCCAGACTAAGGCTGCTCGACTCCTTTTCAGACTTGTGTTTTGAGGAGATGGAACCATACCTCTGACTGAGCAAGGAACTGTAGATCTCTATAAGACATTTTGATAGGAGCCACTTTATCATCTTTTCCTGGTAGTGAATATTTCTTGCCACCCATATGGTTTTTCTGTCTGTATTGCTGGAAAGCTACACTCTCAGCTGTATTTATTTGGTAACACCTTGTGTTCAACTTACAGTTTTCTCTAATGACTTTTACTGATAGAGCCAAGAGTTTGCAGATAGATTGCATTAAAAAGTGAAAAGTATAAGGGAAAAAACCAAACAAAATAATAAATCTTCTTTTAATTATAGCTGTTTCCCTGAAAATCAGTTTAGTTTACAGGTTTTTATGTTTAGTACATAAATCTATCTATTTCCTCTAAAGTGGAAATTCTTGAAAAAAAATAGCATTTTTTTGTTGTTGTGTAGCTTAAAGACAATATTTTAGAGTTGCTTAAAACTACATATTTAAACCTCTGTATTTGAAGTAAGGTATGCAGTGACAACCCCACATGCTGCATTCCTACTCGTTTGGACCCATAAGTGAGCCCAAGTTTCGACCTATGTTGTGAAACCACCGCTGCATTTCAGGGAGTTGCAGCTCCCTGGTTCTCCACCTTTGCAGCTGAAGAGAGACGTACGTTGTCTCTCCCACTCCACATCATCGACACTGGATTTTCAGCAGAGTTGTCGGTGCTGAAGAAATGAACTCGCCAGCCACAGCAACACTGCAATTGTTTAATTTCACGACGGAAAGTTTTGCTGAAGATGTAGTAAATAAAAGGGTTATACGCTGTGGAAGATTTGGCAAACAGACAGGGCAGCAGTGTTACAATGGGCTGTAGGGAATCGCTGGAGTTAAATATGGACCAGAAGCTGGCTGCTGCGTACGGTGTCCACGAGCTCAGGAACCCAACCGAGATGAGCACAGCCATCTGAAAGGGAAACAGGGCTTCAGTTCTCAGCGTGCACTGACAGGGTCTGATACCCACGCATGTGGGGTGTGGATGAAACCACACCTGAACTACCTCAAAGTTGTGACACAAGCACAGGTAACACTGGACAGTGCATATATGCTTTTTTCCCCCATCTTGCAGATCCACACTGTGGGGTTTTTTATGAGGCAGTTGTTGTTTTCATGTCCTTACCAGACTCTGGCTGCAATATGTCCTGGGAGCCACAGCCCAACCAGACAGTATAGCCTATCAGTAGACTGGCCTCTAGAAAGCTTGGGTCAATTCTGCTTTTCAACAAGAAATGAGCAACTGAAGTGCTTATTTGAAAAAATGTTATATTAAAAAATCCTGTTTCCATGCAGAATTTCTGTGTAGCTCTTGCTCAGAATAGCCACTCAGTCAATTAAAAATACCTAGGATGACAGAACATGACCGCCACCCCAGCTATAATACAAAAGGATTCAACAGCTATTCTGGCATGACTGGAAATTTATATGTCCATAAAAATCTTGGATGCAACTGCCTAAAGATTTATTAAGCTCCATTGTACCTATGATATATGTCATCCTGATCAAGCTACTGAAATGACAAGGTTTTCAGTACCCCCCTGCTCCTCTGTAGAGTGCAGAGTATGGGTGACACTGGAACCACATCTCCATCTTTGGTCAACACTAGACAAAAGCAATGAATCATAGAATCATAGAATCTTTTAAGTTGGAAAAGACCTTTAAGATCACCGAGTCCAACAGCAAACCTAGCATGACCAAGACCACAACTAAGCCCTGTCCCTAAGCACCACATCTACAGGTGTCTTAAATCCCTCCAGGGATGGTAACTGAACCACTTCCCTGGGTAGCCTGTTCCAATGCTTGACAACCATTTCCGTGAAGGAATTCTTTCTAATATCCAATCTAAACCTCCCCTGGTGCAACTTGAGGCCATTTCCTCTTGTCCTATCACTTGTTACTTGGGAGAAGAGACTGACCCCCACCTGGCTACACCCTTCTTTCAGGGAGCTGTAGAGAGCGATCAGGTCTCCCCTCAGCCTCCTCTTCTCCAGACCAAACACCCCCAGCTCCCTCAGCCGCTCCCCATCAGACTTGTGCTCCAGACCCTTCACCACCTTCGTTGCCCTTCTCTGGACTCACTCCAGCACCTCAAGGGCTTTCTTGTAGTGAGGGGCCCAAAACTGAACACGGTACTCGAGGTGCGACATGAAGGGTCAACATGAGCCATGCATGAGCAGAGCCAGTTCTCTGCAAGCTTCTGATTACTGCAGACTCTTCTCATCACTGGGTTAACTCACCAAGGTCAGCTTTTTCTCCAGTTTAGCTGCATTAGGGATCCTGTCAATATTCTGGATCTCTTGGTACACTTTATGAACCTTCCAGGCGATACCCAAGTAGCAGGCAACGATGGTCAGTGCAGGCAGGACTGTGCACAGGAGGAACATGCTCAGGATGAACGAAAAGCCATTGGAGGAGTTGTGGAACTTGCTCCAGGCTATGGTACAAGAGATGCCAAATGGCTCAGGGCCGTAGTAGCCCCAGCCTACCAAGGGCAGAATGGCCCAGAGCAAGGAGTAGAGCCAGATGAAAGTAATCAAGATGCGAACAGTCTTCTTGGTGATTTTGTTACCTGCGAGAAAGAGGAAGAGCAAGCGTATATGGATCTCATCTCAGCCACATGGGGTTTGCCATAACTTCTTCTCAAACAGAAGGATGGTGGCTACAAAATATGCCTAGGCTGCTGCTGCAGTTCCCTAACCTTTGGTCTTCTTGAGAAACATAACAGAGAGTGTCCATGGACTGGGTGAGACCTGAGTGCAGCCCTCAGTGCTGATCTACAGTTTAGTAAGTCAGGAAGCTTTACAAGATCAACTTGGCCCCAAATGTACCGTGTAAATGCCAGGAGAATATTTCTTCCTCTCAAATTCCAGTATGTCTGCTTGCACACAAATAGGAAGACAAGACAGTCTGGTCCAGCAAAATATTTGGGCTCTCCACTCTCAGGTGGTTTCACCTGGCATTACTGAGAAGTCAGAAACCTAATTGTTTAATAAGGAATTTAAACAGATCCTTCTAGGAACATTAAGGTTTCACATTGGACTAAAAGTTGGGGCTTATTCCTACAATTACTGAACTGATACTCCATGCCATATTCCACAAAGTACCTCTCTGAACATAATAGCCCAATTGTACCACTACAAGGTTACCAGAAACATAATTACTTACTGTTAGATTTGGATGAATTCGTAACAAGGAATCGAATCACAGCCATGGCACACAGGGTCATCATGCTGCAGACACCAAAAAGAAAACCCATCAAGGCATAATATATACAGGATGCATCTCCTCCCAGCCAAGCATGGTTCCAGGCAGATGCAATGGCCAGCGGGTACATGCTGATTGCCATTCCAATATCTGCTACTGCCAAGTTGACTGTAAGCAGCTCCGGTGACTTCAGGAGAAAAAGCGGTAGCAAGGACGGCTGAATTTCCAAGGATTGTCAGGATGGCTGAAAGAGAAGAATCAGCACAGACAATAATACCACATAGATAACACACCTGTGAAATCCATTGATTATACAAAGGATGTGAAAAATGCCTCTCGTTAGCCTGGGACTAAAGTCTAGAAGACAGGACAGAGTGGGAGAATTCAGCACCTCCCAGGCCAATACAGTATTGTGCTGATGCTTTGAAAACACGCCGGTGCGTACCTGCCATGCCCTGCTAGAAAACCTTGTTCTTTAGCTCATGGCAAGGAAACCTGTTCTCTTAGATAGGAGATAGGAAATGCCACCTGCATGGCATTTTCTGAGAGCTGCTACACAGCTTGGCATCCCCACCACAGCATCCACTGTTTTGCTTCAGCTAGCTCCTGGGTTTCAATTCCTGCCTCTCTGCTAGACAGGGATTTCCCAGTTTAACCCGTGTTTCCACTACGGACCTGCTAGAGCAAAGAGCACTTCAGATTTCTGTTCATAGCCTCCTGCAGTGCTGGCCAGCCTTACCAACTGGGGGAAATTTTGTCATACAAACAGTAGACCATATCTTGCCCCTTTGTATCACCAGACTATAGCTCTTAGTCACAGAATCACAGAATCGATTTGGTTGGAAGAGACCTCTGGGATCATCGAGTCCAACCTTTGCCCTAACACCCCCATGTCAACTAGACCATGGCACTAAGTGCCACATCCAGTCTTTTCTTAAACCCCTCCAGGGATGGCGACTCCACCACCTCCCTGGGCAGCCCATTCCAATGCCTAACGACCCTTTCTTTCACTTCCATGTCACACCCCCCTCTGCATGCACTATATCCCACCTATTCTCCTATGGCTCCTATCTCACATGAATAGCCCCCACCCATTTGCTCCACTCCCTTACGGTATCTTGCACAACACACTATCAAGTAAAATGAGCCTGTCCTTCATTTTTCCCTGGTAATACCATCACTTACTTCTCCTTCCTACTGAAGAACTCCTGCTTGTCCCCTCCTCTCACCCGGTGCCCTCCACTTCCCAAAACCTTTGGGCAAAGCATTCTCTTTGCAATGTGTCTTCCACTGGAGCCCCAGCATGAGCCTCCAGGGCTCTGGGCTGCCTCGGCAGTCAACATCTGCGGGCTTGGCAGCTCAGGGTCCTCGCTGGTCAAGCGGCTGAGGATCACTATGTGCTGCAGTTCAGACACCCACACTATTTTGGTGGTCTCTGAGTGTAGTGAGACAGACCATAGAAGTCGTTTAGCCAGAAGGATGCAACAGACCAGAGATTGCTTTGCAAAAGGGCCTGTCTGACATACAGTATTCAGGTATGCCATCGGGCTTCAAAGCGTTCGTGGCAACAATGTCAAAAGTACACGTAGCAAACAACTCATTTTCTCTTTTCTTTCGAGTGAACATTGTGCTGGAGCTACATTTTGATCAAGGGTTTTCCTGAGAAGGTGTCCTCTAAAGTCAGAAGTGAAATAGGGAAACAGAAGAAGATTCTGTCGTGTTCCCTTGTCACTGTGAATGCAGGAAGGCTGCATGTGCTCACAGGTACCACATAATAAAGTGCCCACAGAGGAATTAATAAAGGCACATGCAACAAAATGGAATAAATACATTGGCATAAATCCAAGAATGGGCAGAGACCATAGAATCATAGAATGGTTTGCTTGGAAGGAACCTTAAAGATCATCTAGTTCCAGCTCCACTGCCATGGGCAGGGACACCTTCTACTAGACCAGGTTACTCAAAGCCTCATCCAAACTGGCCTTGAAAAAAAGATGCCAAGACAAAACCTTAAACAGAACAGAGTTACAAATCTGAGACCCCACATCCCTCACTTTCTAACCACACACATTCACTTGGCACTTCTGGATACGCTTGAAGGGTTCCCCGAGCTCTGCACACACAAACATGCCCACGGTGGCTTGGCACGGGATCGCCTGCTGACAGATAGCAACCTGTGGCTTGGTGGGACGAGCACTCTCCTGCCACAGGTTGGGACATCCTCAGGCTTCAGGAGGAAAATGAAACCAGTTCACTTTCTTCTGTGAGAGCTCTAACTGCTATGCAAGAGGTAGGAAACAGCTCTTAGTCTTACCATCAGAGGTGGACATCCAAGCCCACCCTTTCTCTTACTTTGACAGATGCTATTCCCCTCCATCCCACTGCCTGTGAGGCTGCTGGATGGCATGGGGCATGACTGTGAACTGCATCTGTGGACGTACTTTTGTGTGAGAAAACAGCTGGCATCCTGACTTGCATTAAAAGAAAAACCCTTCGTTGTTTTGCAGAGAGTGATTTTTCTCACCCTGAGTTGTAGTCTCTGCTGTCAGCACAGCTGAGGGGACAGCACAGGGCAGGGCAGGGCAGGGAAAAGTGTGCAGGAACAGGGGTGAGATGTGAAATGCTAAAGCCCAGCATTGCTGCCCAAAGCCTCACCGTTAAAGCACATAAAAAAATATATGCTCGTCTTTCTTTAATGCATCTTGAGCAGGGTTTTCAAATGAGCTGAAGGGAGGAAGGTACTCGCATCTTAGCAAAATTCAGTTGAACTGCAAGCCTAAACCAATTCAGCTCCTCTCCAAATCTACATCAACATTAAACAAATCATCTGGGTACATGCAACAAACACACAAGGAAGAAAATGCTTAGCTAAAGTCATGCCGGAGCAGACTGGTACATATCCCCCTTTGTATTTCATTGTAAATCTGCCTTCAGCAGGGCAAACTGGCCATTATAAAAACCAGAAGTGTTATTTGGAAACCCTTTGCTATTCTGTACCAGTTTATCCTACCAAGACACAGCTGCTCTTCATGAATAATGAACATTGCCCCCCCGCAAGAGACGGACCAAAGTTGCTCTCCCCTGATCAGTCTCACGAAACGGGCTGCTTCATCTCTCAATTCACAGGGCTGAGGTGCCAGGATAAGTGGTAGACAACTTATTTTGAATACTCGTGCCACCGCAGAGGCAAACTTATACTGGCAAGTCTTCAGCATCAAAACAAAGAATTGCAAATCTGAGAGCAGAGATTAATCTGGCATCCAACCGACTCAGAGGAAACAAGTAGGAACCTGTGTGGAAACAGATTTTCTGTCATTTCCCTCCAGCTTCCTCTGGAGCTGCCGATGCTGACCATAGCACAGACAGGGCAGCCCCGGTGTGTCCGCTCCTAGGCTTGAAGCAAACAAGCAGGCTGTGAAGGCAGAACTCACCTATGATCAGAAGAAAGACCCCAGCTCCATAATCCACTACTGGGTGGAGTTTGGAAACGTATTGCTCCTCCATTGTTCCTTGTGGAAGTGGGTGAAAGTTTTAAATCAAACGCAAAGTGACTGTAGGGGCAAAGAGACCCTTCCTCATGGTTTGCCTGCTGTGGATGTGAGCCAGGCAGTTGGGTGCTGTCTGTGTGAAAGGACTCTTCTGCTTTCTCCTCTCTCCCTCCCTCTGTGTAGCAGGGGAGAAGCCTGGAGTGAGAGAAAGGCTCCCTCCCTGGGGAGACAGAGTGAAAGCTGGGCAGAGCCACTGCCAGAGCCATCCCCATCGCGCCTGCCTGGCAGAGCATCTCCCCACCCACCTCCTCCTCTCACACCGCCCTGCTCCTTGGCTTGTCAAGCAACATCACAACGCAAATCCCTTCAGACTGCCATTGCTGAGCAAAAACAATTGTCATTCGACCATCAGCAGCCTTGGGAAATAAATCCAGGCTGAGGAATCAGGCAGGGCAAGGAAGGTTAGGAGTTTTGGTTTTCAGCTTTATGGCTGTGGATGGGAAATATGAGGTTGGGGTAGGGGGATCTCTGTGTTGAAGTATTAGGGGAAAGCTGTTTGCTGCAGGGGTTCAGAAGGGTCCAAGTCACTCTGCTGAAGGCAGGACTTTCAGAGCTGCTCCAGGGCAGAACTGGAGGATGCTCAGTCCGGTGTGCACAGCTGCAGAGCACCACAGCAGAACCAAGCTCTGAGTTCACTCTAGTGATGCTCTACTGTTGTTACTTGGCAAGCAATGAGAGCAATGCCTCACATCCAAGTTTACCTTCTCCTTCTAATATCTGAGCCTAAAATCATCATAATGCTCTTGCAGTTTTTATAAACGATGCTAAGTTTTGCCCCAGGCCCCAAGTATGTGTTACAGACTCATCTATCAATTTACATATGCAGGTCTTGATTTTGGTGCACGCAGTTTACAGGTCTGTAGTTGCAATGCCATTGAGTTGACTTTTAGCCTGGGCAGTACCCAGCCACCACAATGAAGAGCTGATCTATTCTAAATTATTTAATTCCAGTACCTGGATATGCTAAGCTCCATTAGCATCATTCTCTGCTTGGCCTATTTTACTCTGTTCAGACATAGGGAATTTTCAGATCCCCAAGAGCACTCAGGCATCTCATGTACAATGTAGGTGAAATTTAGATGCCTAAGTATAGCAGTACCCACCTACATTCTGAAATCCTTAGGAATCTGAGAGACTTTAAAAGCTTTGAGTTTCATCTGAAAGCAAAATTGGCCATGCACAGATATGCCGCCACCTCAGCTTTGCTGCATGTCTCTGTGCTTGTTCCCTGCTGAAGCTGTCGGGGATTCACACACCAGGGATCCCTGCACTGAAGACTTTGAGGAGTTTAATTCAGCAACCAAGTACATGCAACACAACACACACAGCACAGGGCTCAGCAGCACTCACAGCCTTCTCAAGGCATCTTTGTCCTAAAAGCTTAGCCATCCTCCATGAAATGGAGAAATCAGCTCCCTACTTGAATACATGGTTTCGCTGTAAGAGTGTTTTATTCTGCAGGTTATTGAGGTGAGGCAAATGGCATAACAGAGAGATGCTTTCCTCTCCACTTGAAGCTGGACTGCTCCACACCTAAGTTACAAGATTGGAGGCAGAAAAAACAAATGGTATCTGACTCTCTAGTATGGTGCTGAAGGGAGCTCTTCCTCCAAAAGTTGTTAATATATTTTGCAGTGAACAGCTATGGCATAAAAAAAAATCTGCAGGGGTCATGATGGTTCAGTATTGGCCACTAGCTACAGCTTCAAAGTTAACCAGTCTCACAGAGGTGCTGCTCAAGGTATAGTTATCTCTTCGGAAAAACAAAATCCCAGTATCTGGGACCATGGCCGCACATCAGGATTCCCCACTGTCAGCATGCTGGGTGTTACAAGTTTTGTTCTTAGTAAATCTGCCTCCACCGCTGAACAGAGAACTTGGGTACCAAATTCAGGACTAATTCTGCTGTCACAGACACAAACTTTTATTTTTAAAGGAGGCTGAGCACTACTGAGAGTTAGGTGGCTTCATTAGCCCACAGCAATACTCTAGTTCCCAAGTACTGCTGCCAGCAGCTAAATGGAGGCAAGATATAGCAGAGGAGAGCAGAGAGGGAATGTCTGTTTTTCCATCAGAGAGAGAATAGACACTGTAGCTCATAATATTAGCAGAATGGTGAGTTCAAGAAATGCTACAGCCCCATGATTCCCATCCTCAGAAACCACTTCCCAGTGCTAAGCTACTTCTTCACTGAGGCTGGTTTATGTGTAGCCAGCTCAAGTGTTTCTGAAAGTCTCTTCAAGAAAGCGAGGTTACCAATTGATCCCAATTTGGAGAAGAAATGCCTGCTAGAGTCAGTAAAAGACACAGCAAATCCTGCGGCAGAAGTAGAAGATTGCTGCATTCTGACAATTAATTCAGCATAGTGCACACAAAACCATAATATTGGTAAATGAAACAATGCCAATCACCACAAAGATGCTGGAATTCATCTGTTCACCTTGTTAAATTCACAGAACAGTTGCTGGCACTGGTTTGGGCTGGGCCAGCTAGCACTATCCTAAGTCATTCCCATGCACAGGTCAGCTAAAATGGGCCCAGGACCATTCCCAGTAGGCAGTAAGGTCACCGGTTTCGAAGACAAAGTAACACTGTTTAGTTCCCTGGTACAGATGTTGCCCAAGGGTTTTGCTCTTATGCTGGGTGCAAACATTTAGCTGAGAAATAGATGTTTAAGGCACAGTCATTAAATCAGAAATTACTGTTTTAAAGGATTGTTAGTGCTCAAATAGAGCTTCTGATAAAGAAAATTCTTTGGAAAGTTTCCTGGCCTGTTCTATGTAGTCAGCTCACCTAATGGTTTTTTTTTTTTGGCCTTTCGTGGTCATAAAAATGTGACAGAAGGCTTGGTTTAAGGAGCCTGATGTCACCCAATCCAAGCCAGATCTCCTGCTTTCCCACTTGTTGCATGGTGCATCCTCTCACTACTGAAATGAGATATTAAATTTCTTCAGGCAAGCAAAGAGAAACCAGAGGCAAGATTAAAACTTTTTGCTGAGAATTTAATTACTCCCTGGAGACCCCATAGGCTACATCAGAAGTCTAGTCCTCTTCCAACTTTTGTGGGCACCTTAGATTACACTGTGTGGATATTTCATGCTGGTTTAGATGGCATTTCATTTATTGTGAAACCCTGAACTTAGCATTCACATGGGGTAGGATTACATCAACAGTTCAGTTACGAAATGGAAGAAAAGAAAATAAATGATTAAAACCAGAAGAGTTGACTGATCCCAAATCCAGTGCATTATTCATGTGTCATTTAACAATAGCAAGTTGTACCCAGCATTATCTTTCTGCATGTCAGATCAATCTAGATCATCTGTTTACAACCAAAGAACAGTCAAAGTTTATACATCTTGACAGACCCAATTTTTGGGGATCATATTTTAGCATTGTTTTGTGAAATTTCCCTTCAATTTAAGAAAGTACTCTTTAAATTAGACAGATGGAAGAATAAAGTTGCTACCTACTCACTTCTGAAAGTTATGTGAAACTTCAAACAAAAAATGAACTCACCATGAAACCATATATGTATATATAGTTAATGTAAATATATATACATATAAAAACCAAGTTCCTATTGCTGATGTAAAACAGGATATGGGTTGAGTAATTACTTGATGGTACAAAGTTAGAACGTCCTACAACTTTATTCTTCCTTTCCACACACAAAAAAAAAGGAGAGTATTCTGAATCAATAGGAACAAGGGAATTGTTCTGAATTATCAGTTTGCCAGTATGTGGCAGTTCATTGCAGAGACAAAATGTCTCAATGTTTGGCGCTGTTTGGGCCAAGAATATTGGGTTTGTTTTGGTACAATATATCAATATCGTTGATATCTCCTGATATCTGGAGAGGGCTATGAATCTATGTCCATACCTTCACAGAATTCATGTCTATCAAAAATAGTTGTGTATCATTTAGAAGAGAAGTATGGCTTTGCTATTCCTGTTTATCTCCAGCTGCTCTGTCCAGATCTTCTCTTCTGTGAAGACTCCAAGATTTCAAGCTGAGCAGAGTACTGCAAACAGTCTATTTGGACAGTCCCTTTTGGGTACCTTCTCCTTGCTTCAAAACAAGCCTGCTATGATGCACACTCAAGATTTTTCATTAACAAATGCCACCTTTTTCAAACTCCTTGGAGGAGATGACTTCACCATATTCCCCAGGAACTCCTACAACTTCCTTCCATTTAACTATTAGGCTATTTCTGCAGTCTTACTTTTGGAAGCTCATCTTTGAGCTGAGACCTCTAGCTGAGCTTCTTGCTTTCACCACCACTTATGAAAACCAGAATCAGCATTTAAGTTGAATTCTCAGAGTCTGCTCATGAAGTTGTATGTTTTCAACGACCAAATCTTGTTTAAGCTGGTATTTGCAACCTCAAGCATAGTAATTTGTAAATTGTTTTCTTCTGGATGTCTGCACTGACTTGCATGTTATTGTCTGAGGGGTTATTTACAAAGTCTAAATCTAGTCTAGGGACACTAACCTCCCTATCTTCCCTCTACAGTAATTGAAGGTAGCTGTCCCCTTGAAGAATCCAGTTTGGATCAATAAATTCTGCTCTTTCACTAAAACCACTTTTACATATAATACTTGGCTGTTGGTTAACCCGGTCAAAGTGAGTACAGCTCTCCACCATAGCGGTCAGAGACTCACCAGGAAGACCTGAGTTGCAGATGTTATTCCAGTGAGTGTTTGACCTCGGAGCAGAAAATGGACTCCAAACCCAAGGCCATCTTGTATGCACAGGACTGAAAAATTATTTTAAGACTTTTTACATCACTTTTATTCTTCACTTTTAAGAGTTGTTCGATGCTACTGGCAGTTTGAGGTGAGAGTAATTAGCAGTTTAACACTAAATGAATGACCAATGATTGAGATATGAGGAAACAAAAACTTGTACAACTTCCACACTAGGACTAGTAAGTATACCATGGAACTAAAGC